CCTAAACCCTAAACCCTTGATAAAAAGCTCCTCGCCGGGCCACTCCAGGCCGAAGGTTCCCTCACTGCCCTCCGAGTGCAGCTCCTGAGCTCTTTTTTGCAGCTTCCCTCAACTTAGGCCTGGAATTGGGTTTAGGGTTCGGGCAAGATTTCGGGTTTAGGTTTAGGGTTTCGAGCTATATCTGAAATTTGCCATATTTTTTTGTTTTTTTTTGGGTGGTTCCCTAATAAGCTTCACTGGGGTGTAGGGTATAAACTCTAATATAAGAGCCTTCACAACTCGAACGAAGGCTTTGGAAACCCCAAACAACAGATCCTTAAGTCGGAAAACCTGACAGTCCCTATATAGGGGCCTTCGCTGCATAATTAGATGAGAGCTTCCTTTACGGTTCTGTGAAGGAGGTCTACACTGGTTCTGTGCTCAGGGCTAATTCTAGTGGTTGGATATAGAGGCCTTCATGAAACAGGGGGGTTTGCGGGCACGCTATACAGATAAGGAGCCGTAGGGGTAATTTTAGTAAGTGTTGTGAACCCTACACTAGCCACTTAACTGTGGGGCTTCAGTTTAGGGGTTTGATAAAACATGGGTGTAGGGTGTCGGATTTAGGTTCAGGTAGATGCAGGGTAGTGCAAAGCTCAGGACGATATCACAAGCCTCAATCGGATGCACTGAGTACGAGCCGATGATCAACACCATCCCACCCAAGCTTGAAACCTATTCCTCATTACTAGGACCTCCACATACCTCGTATACGATCCTATTTCGAGCAAGACCTGTGTTGTAGGAGACGCCTACATCACACCGAACGCCAGACGGGTCTGAAAGAGTCTGACAAGGGCTCCATACGGGCTTTACAAAGGCGTCCATGCTGGGTCAGGGTGTTGTTCACAGGTAGGTCAGAGCTATGGGAGGTAGGGCTTGCGGACGGGCTTAGGGTTTATGGGCTTTGGTTTAGGGTCTGCGTTTAGACATGCAGTCTCTGGGGGATTTGGGCAGACCGCCCTGTGCCTGCGAGACATTGCTTGAGCAGGCATCTGTGACCGTTGTCGCCTGTGCCAGATGCGCGGGGTTAGGTTTTAGGCTTCCAGTGCCGAGGATAGTGCTGACTGGTTGTGTTGCAGGTTGCAGCAATGTATTCGCTGTTTGTGGCTAACTGTGCCACCTCCCTCTTCTCGCAGACCATCTTCGTTTCTTCTTCTGTCTCACAATCTCCGGAAGATGCTCTTCTCGCCGGCACTGTCTATGTTCTGCTGGCCGCAGTACCGAATTATCGTACTGTTGTTCAGTCTACCGATGTAAGTGATATACCAGTCTTTGGTGTTAGTTACTCAGTACTCTTCTTGCCGTAGGACATCCTCATCTAGATGTCTTCGCAGCACATGGCAGTTTTCTCCACGCCATCTTGGTGCTACTACTACGGCGGTTGTCCCACTGCTGCAGTGTCCCGTATCTCATCATAGGCTCACCTTCCTACCTAAATACCTGGCTATTCTGCTTTCCGGTCACTTTCGAACCGACCAACAGAACGAGCAGAGCATTGTTCTCAAAGTCTCATGGTTTGACTATGCTCTCTGGCTTCTGTTCTGGTTTTCGCTATCACTAACATCTTCCAACCGTCTTGTGGACGGAAGCAATTCTCCTAACAACTCAAAGTGTGTTACATGCATTGTACTGACTACCATTTCGTGCCTTAGGCTCACGTAGAGGACATCAAACTAAGACTGGTTGTCTGGCTGTGTGACAGGACAAGATCACGGCAAAGCTGTTTGACTTGACACTGCCAGACGACATTGCGGGTGGGGACTGTAATGTCGACCTCCATCTTTGGTGCCCTTTGAAAGGATGTGGCTTACCCCTTAAGGGCTCATATGTTTAGGGTTTAGGTAAGTTTTGGGCTTTACAGTTTGGGGTATCTGAGCCTCATCGAGCATGGAGCATGTACTATGACAGCAGCGGGCAACATCTTGTCAACTGGGACACGGCCTGAAGTCTGAGTAACAGAGATGCAAGGTCCTTAGAAAGCCGGGAAAAGCTCGCTGAACCCCAAATCCATAAACACCCAACCGCAAACCCTGAACCCTAAACCTCAAAGTCTCCATCGATCCTACTCCCGATAGTCACCGATAGTCCTCAACCCTAATCTCCAAGAATCCTGGCCCTATAGTCCTTAAGCCCTTATAACCTCTCCAAGTCCTAAGCCCTATAGTCCTTAAGCCCTAAACCCTAAGCCCTAAACCCCTAAACCCTAAACCCCTAAGCCCTAAACCCTTAAGACACCCAACAGCTAGGGGCCTGATGCTGCAGCCGCGGGAGTTGCACCTGCGAGTGCGCATTCAGAGTTTGTGGGCCTGAGGGTTTAGGGTTTAGGGATTTAGGATGGTTAGGGGTTCAGGGATTAAGGGCCTTTTCGATGGTTTAGGGTTTAGGCTTTCGGGTTTAGGGATCAGGAGCGCGGGGTTTAAGATGTAAAGCAGGGGTTCTGGGCTGAGGAGCTTAGGGTGTGTGGAGAGGTCCCCAAGCCGGTTTGGGCGTAATGTAGGAACCTGATTAAGAAACCCTGGCCCTATAACCCCAATATATTAGGGTTTATATTCAGAACCCTAATAGAGAGCCAGCGTTTCTTAATCAGGTTCCTACATTCAGGTTTCTGGTCGAAAGTCAAAGCGTGCCCATGTCGGAAGGATCTTGAACTCAGGAGCATGAAGATGGGAATTTGGGGGTAGGGATCTAGGGCTTAAAGGTTTAGGGTGTCGTGCAGGTTCGTTTCCGGCTCGGGGTCTAGGATCCAAGAAAAGTGTGAATCATGTTTGCTCTGCGTTTTGGAGTCTACATCTGCGAAAAGTTCAATGTACTCACGGCGTCATGGCTGGGTTCAAGGGCCTGTGCGCTGATGTCGCTTTCCTGGTGGCTGGAGGCTCTTTTCTCGTGATGCTTTGGGGACACCGTGCCCAGAACAACAGGAGCACAAGTAGGTCCGATTCAGGGTAGGGTCGGCAGGTCGACAGCAAGGAACAGCATCAACACGGTAAGACTTAGAAGACTGGGTACATATATACCAACAACAACAAGAACAAAGATCGGGAATAAAGATGTGAACTACAATGACAAATGGGTGGCTGTCAAAATTATAGTCCCTTTTTGGGTCGTTATTATAATACGGCACCTATTATTTAGGGTCAAAAGGGACCATAATTTCGACAACCCAAATGGGAAGACGGAGACGAGGAAACACAGCTTTCGGTCTGATTCCGCGCTTAACTTCAGAGGTGGTCCTCGCTGGAATGCAGATTAACCTGGAAGGTCTGAAGAGCGCTAACCTAAACCCTAAACCCTAAACCCTAAACCCTAAACCCTAAACCCTAAACCCTAATATAGGGCCTTCATACTTACAGAAAGGCTTTGGGTATATCATAATATACTGATATTAGGAACCCTAAGGAACAACGTTAGCAAGGATTCCGATCCCCACATAAGAGTTTCCGAAAGTAGGGGACCCTAATATAGTACCCTACATAGTCGGATCCTTATTATTATAAGGACCCCAAAATACGGGACCCCTTAATTTCGGAAACTCCCATATTCAACCCCCAAAAGGAAAACCGAGCATGTCGGACCGGAGCCTCAAAAGAGGCTGCCGCAGAATGTCTCCCGGAACCGCCTGGGAGGTGCGTCCACCACCCCAAACCCTAAACCCTATAAAGTTTGGACCCTAAACCCCAAACCCTAAACCAAAGCAAACCCTAAACCCTATAAAGTTTGAACCCTAAACCCCAAAGCCTAAACCAAACTCTAAAACCTAAACCTTGGACCCTAAACCCGAAACCCCAAACCACAGCAAACTCTAAATCCTTGGACCCTAAACCCTAAACCCTGAAGCCTGAACCGGTTTAAATTAGGGGTTGAGGGCTTCGGGCTCAGGGTGTGGCTTTCTGCCTCTCTCTACGCCTGACAGCCACATAGCAGTAAGCGCAATACATGCCAACGAAACAAACGGCAACAACACATGCAAGGACCGCAGCAACAATGTGAAGCAACATGACTAACAACAAACATGCATGACAGCCAAAAACAGAATGGGCAATCTATTTCCCCAAAAACAACAGCCCACACAGCTAGATTAACAATGAGCCACAAAACAGGTGCAAGCATAGAATCACCCGCGCGGCATTAGCAACAGCAGACATACAAACAAGGACATTGCCGTACCGAAACCACCTGACTTCCAGCTGTCAGCATGTCTGCTCACAAGCTCAAGACATGCTGTGGGGGGGCTTCAAGGCATGGCATTAGGCCTTCCGGATCTGGTGTCTGGTATAACTCCTTGCAACGTGCGGAGGGGACAGATCTCGAAGGAAGAGTATAGGGGCCTTAATGCTTAGAATAAGGTTTGGGAATATATGATGCTATGACTATAGTTAAGAACCCTCAGAATCGTGTTGGTAATTATTTACCCCCTAAATGACATAGACGGCTGAGCTCGCAAAATCAGACTTTGTTCTGCCCTAATTGCTGTAATGGATCCTCATAGTCTCTGTGCGAGAGTAGATACCACCAGGTAAACCCCAAACCACCAAGAGTCGTAAACCCTATAACTGCCCTAAAGCAGGGAACACATGAAACTAAAACGAAATCTTTCACATGATCTAATGTTGATGAAGAGGAGTTGGGCTACCCGAACCCCCAGGAGCCGATAAAGCCTTATGTAATACAGGGTGTCCTCTAGTATAACTACATATGGACTACAAAGGAATCCGACAACTACCTATGCCGAGCCCTGATGTCAAGTTATAGTATATGGTGTGTATATATATATATATAGAGTAAACTAAACATACGTAAGGACTATACACATCGGAGCCCTAAACCCTGAACCCTAAACCCTAAACCCTAAACAATAAACCCTGAACCCTAAACCCTAATCCACTAAATCCTAAACCCTGAACACTAATACCCTAAACCCTAAACCCCTAAACCCTGAACCCTGACTCCTAAACCCCTAAACCCTAAATCCCTAAACCCTGAACCCTAAACCCCTAAACCCTGAACCGTAAACCCTAAACGGAGGTAAAGCCTTCTGCAGCGCCATTTCTCGGAGCTGCAAACATCGACTCCTGCAGAGGCGACGGGGATCCACTGACAGGGGCTTAGGGCTCAGGGTTAGGGTTTGGGGGTTGGGGTTTAGGGTTTCGGAGGTAGGGCCTATGGTGAGAGGGTGTCTTCTTCGGAGGTCGTATTGGATTCTTTCAGGGGCCTGCGGAAATCTGCTTGGACTACACGGTTCAGGGTTTCGGCAGTTGAGAAGTGATGGTTAGGGCCTAACCCCGAAAAACGACTGAGACTCGGACTGTTCCCATTTGAAGCCCATGGCGGCAAGAGCCAGCCAGTAAGACTGATAGAAATTCCCAAAAGCACAAGCAAAATCCATGTGTAGGTGGAACGCTTCCGTGCATAATGGCATTGCAGTTGCTACGCCCGGGAGCCCGGCGTATCTCCCAACACTACCCCAAAACCTACACTCTACGCCCTACAACTCCGGAAACTGCCTTACTAGATGGACCCCTAAAGCGCAAGAAACCCCTTTATAATCCGCTGGTCCTTCCTATATCCCTAAATAAAGACCGTAAACTCCCCAAACTCCCAAACCCTGATAACCTGGTGTAGGGTTTAGGGTTTAGGGTTTAGGGTTTAGGGTAATAACCCGTAACAAAATTCACAAACTCTTAAAGCCCTCAAGACACAAACATACGAAGCCTCTGAAACTCTTCAGCTCACCTATAGAACTCCTGTAAGCCGTCTTTGGACCCAAAACTGCACAATGGGGAGCCCAACCACCCCTCGAACCCTAGAATAGTACCCTAAATAGTAGGATCCTTATTACAAGGACCCAAAATAAGGTACCCCGAACCCTGACCCTAAGATAGTACCCTAAATAGTAGGACCCTTGTTACAAGGGCCCAAACTAAGGTACCCCAATTTTCGGAAACTCCCATATACCAT